GTGCTCCCCCCTCCGGCCGCCCCTCTCCTCCCCGGCCTCCTCCCGCCCTCCCGGAGTTGTGCTTCAGCGATTGACTTTCCGTCAATGCCCGCCCGCCCCACTCGGCAGGCTCCTCCAATAGGGGCGCGGCCTTTCGGGACGGTGGAGGGGGGTGGTGGACCCTGGTCGGACTGACAAGCAGATCCTGCCAATGGGAGAGGCGCACTGGAGCTACGGCTTCCAGGTGCCAATCAAAGGCAGAGTCCTCCAGGGTGGGCGGGGCCCGGGCCGGGCGGGGCCGCTAGCGAAGTGGCGCGGGGCGGAGTCCGGAGGTGGCTGTGGCGGCTGCGGCGGCAGAGGCGCCCCTCTGGGTGACTTGGCCGTGAGAAAGTGAAAGGAGCCCGCAGGCGGCGGCGACAGCTGCGCAGGGAGGGGCTTGTTTCCAGGCTGGGCGGCCTGGCGCGCTCCGCGGGTCAGGCTAGCCGGTGCGCACCGTGACAACCGTAAATGTACTTGGAAGCGAAGTTGGTCCCGGCTGCTTCCGAGTTACGCAGGTATCCTGGGAGGCCGAGGACGCCGCCGGCTAGAGTCCGCTCCTCCCTGCGGTCGGTGACGACGACGGCCGGGTGCAGGGCAGGGCTCTGGCTCCCGAGTCGCGAGTGCGCTGGGGTCCAGCTGCGCCCGGGGCCGCAAGCGCTGGAGACGCGGGGCGGCTGAGGCCGGGAGACGCCCGCACCTCCCCGACACTGCTCCCTCCTGCGCGTTGAGTGTCGCAGAGCCTTCCCAAGTGGCCATCCTGCAGGATCGCAGGAGCACGGACACTTGGGGACGCCCGGCTCCTTGGCAGTTCTGAAGTCACAACTTTAAGCTACAGCTTGTATCGCCTTTCTTCCCTTCCTGCAAACTTTTTCTCAGTTCTTGCTCAGGGCCACCAGCTGTGTTTAGACGCGCCCATAGAAAAAAGGATATTTCTACTCTCAGTAAACTGGAAATCTGAGGAGGCAAGAATTACTAGCACACCCACCCCCACAAAAATTGAATAGCAAGTGTAATTGGGTGGGGGTGGGGGGAATCAAGAAAATAGAAACGTGCATGGTGAAAGAATCAATGCTATATTAACTGTAAAACAAAATATGTTTATTCGTCGCCAACTGACCCAGGACTTGCAAGCTTGTTGCTAAACAACCTGCCAGGAGACCGCTCTGCGGAGCAAAATGTGCTTTTCGCTTTGTTCCAGGTCAGAAGGGTAGAGTAAGTTGAAAGCATTGTTTGGGCCAGCCAGACATGTTGAATTGCTAATAAAGTCAAATCAGGCGCGCACGGAATTCCTGCAATTCAAATGCCATTGGCATAGCCCTTTGAGACCACATGGAGTGATGGTCTCCATGCCTCTCCCAAACTTCTGTGACCTGGGTGCTGCATGCCAGCCTGAGGGTCCCCGGAGGACTATTGGAGTCCCTAACTCAGCCAGCTCTGTTGTCTCTGCACTTGTGATGAACTCTGGGTTGATAAGAAGGCCCAGTGCCTGAGAATTAAAGGGAGGAAAGTTGATCGACTCTCTTGGGGGATGCTACACACTTTTAAAAAGAAGGAAGATGTAACTAGGAGTACTATGTTTTACTAACAAGTTCAGGAAGAGACAGGAAATGTTTACCTCCTCTAAGTTGTTTCTCATCCACTGAAAAAAAGATAAATCAGGAATCCATAGATGGCTAGATGAACCGAATTGGATCGTGCTCCAACATGGAACAGTATATTTCAGGGAAAAATGAAAACATTCTGATTGTACACCAGAAAGCTTAGAAATTAGGCTCTGTGTAATAGAGTGCAGGAACTCGGCCTTCCAGAGTTTCTGAAGTTGGCCTAAAAGTAAAGTAACAGCTTCATTCAAAGTTGTGCAAAGGGTGATACTGAGTCCATAAAGAGTTAGATGTGCTCCCCACTTACTCCCCCCCCCCCAGTCATTACTAGATTTCATTTTGAAGACTGAGTAATGCAGGTGGAAAATGCAAGCTCAGTTGATAGTTAAGGAAGCAACTATGTACCTCCCCCAAATATGAGAGACAAAGACATTGTTGAAAGTGCATATGGTGTCAGAAATCAGTAACAATGTTCTGGGCATTGATTGTCTGCTAAGGGACATCAGAAAATGTAAAGCAAGGCCACTCCTTCCTGAGGTTTGAAGTTAGGAAAGAAATGGCACAAATATATTAAAAAGTTGAACAACAGAAATACTAAATTAAAATATAATAGGAGATGAATCTCAGAGCTAACGTAAATGTTTTTACAATCACATCCCCAGATCCTGGCAGAATTGGGTTGGTTTTTTTTTACATTTTTAAGATAATTTTTACAATGAAC